GGGCGGGTCTCCGGCTTTACGCGTCCTCCCGTCACGCGTGTTTATCGTCTTTATGGAGACTGACAGCTGCCATCGCAGCTCGCCGGTATCCGCTTTAGGTGCTTCGATCTCCTAATTCTGCCCTACGTCAGCTAAGCTGCCTTGGCCCCCCAGTCAGTACGTTTTTTAAAGCGGACAGCCTCTTGCAAATTCTGCAGTAGAAATGCGTGGGCTGGTATGTGGTTCCTATAATGGGATGTCTGCCGTGCTCCTGTCCACCACTCCATCCATGGTTTGGGAGGTGTTCTCCTGGCATCCCGGCTGACGTGGAGGTGCTTATTTCCTGAAGTATGAGAACTATGTGGTCAGAGCTGTAGCACAAGGCTGATTTGTTACAACAATGTAACTCAGCGTGATGGTTGTGGTCTGTCCGCTCAATTAACTAGAAGACGTTCCTTATAGTCTGCAGGTTAATGCTTATACAGAATTTAAAGGACAGAGAAGCAGAATTCAGTTTCTCGTAGATTGAAGTATATGTGGTTTTAAAGTATTCAAAAGCAATTTGAGAAGTTCTCTTCAAAATGTTAATGCTTTTTTGGTCATAAAAGACCAGACTGTTTCAAAGTTTAATTCCATGAGATTTTGCTACAAAGTGACATTAGTTGTTAATGTAGCAGTTAAATTTAAGAACTAAAATGACAATCTGTAGTTCTGTTAAAGCTTTATACTTTACGTGTTTTTTTTTCATCCATCCATGAAACTTGTCAGACATTTCATTTCTTAGGAAAGCTAGGACAAGTTGGAAAAGTCATGGAAATAAACAAATGTCAACTTAAAGAACTGAATCATGCTATGGTACAGCAACATACAAATACTGACTTACTACTCCACGCGTACAGACTGTTTCAGAGCAGTCAAAGTCATATTTTACTTACGCATTTCTATGACAGCTGAAATATAGTGGGTTTTCTCTTTCATTAATAATGGTGAACAGCCATGGAGTTTAGTTTAGCAGTTTTTGTTATAAAAATTCTACTCTGGGACTTTTAAGAATTGCTGTTTGCATTCCTGTAGTTCAGAAAATGAAAGTGCTTAGGGAGCCAGAATACTGTTGACAAATCCTCCACAGGTGTTTTGTATTCAAGTTACCAACTGCAGCTCAGCAGGTGAAGAGTAGGCTTAGAGCAGAGCACATGTTAAGTGAGCATCTGCATTTATCCACCTGTTAGGGTAAAGTTGCCTCTGTCATACAGGTATTAAATAAGCTTTAGGTCTGGGCAGAGGAGGCAGATGGGTCCAAGGAAGGGAAAAGCTTTGGGAACTTTTGAGGCTGGGATGTAATACAGGGTTAAAAATGAGTTGAGCAGCTCAACTCTAAGTGCTTTTCCAGTAACTCTGGTGAAATGTAAATCTGATACTTTTACTGTGACTGTTTAGTAGTGAGATTGGTGGTTTGCATCAGCTATTGTTGGTTTCAAAAGTAATTTTTAAAATACAGGTTTATTTTTAAGAATTTACAATTTATGTTAGACAGTTGTTGGAAATTCTAACAGAATCTGGGTTACTTTGTTTCCTAAGAAAGGAAATTAAGAAGCTAAGTGTCAGAAAAACTATTTGAAACTATCTTTTTTATTATGGGTTTGTGTCAATTATATGGATGCAGGTGTATGCCTCTTGCCAGTGTTGTGAGTCCATGAATAGCCTGGTCCATACAAAAGCAGACATAAAAATTATCCATTGTTAATATCCGTAAGAGTTTCCTCTCTACAAATATCCTCTACAAGTTTCCCTCTATGAAAGCTACAGCAAGAAATCATTCTCAGTATTTTATATACATGGACATCTTGTTGTCCATGGGTGATCCTTTATGCTTCCCATTCTTATTTTTCCTTTAAGATAATGGTGTTTCCCAGTATCTTTCATGTGCCATTTCTTTCTGATAATTAAATGGATGCTTATTGTGACTTCAAGATTTTTGTTTGCATTTTCTGTGTTTATTATGAAACATTATCAACTGTGTAATGAAATGAGCTAATGGAACTGGATTGAAATAAAATGTCTTTAGACATGAAAAAGCCCTGATCTGGTATTCATGGAAGGGGAATACCACCCTTGTTATTTTCAGTGTATTTGCATGCTTCAGATGTCAGGGGAAAAGTCAGTTCAACATGATGTGTATTTAAGTAGGTTTGGCAGGAAACATGCTTAGAATATATAATTTTAGCTGAACACCAATGCTCTAAATAATACAATGAAAGATATTTCTTATTGATTTCCAATGAAAGTTGCTTTCTTAAACTAGGTGCCAGCATGTGGCTTCTATTTTTATGATTTTATCAGTTTGTAGAGTGTAATGGGAGCACTGATGATGGCTCTTTAATTCTGGGTGCAGATTAATGCAGATATGCAAAATCAGAGGAAAGGTGCATTTCAAGTTGCTTGCAGAAAAGGGGAAATTCTCTGTCAAAGAAGTAGGGAAGTTGATTGTAAATCAGAGTGTTACTTACTGAAACTGGGAGGGGGGAACCCTCTGTCTACATTAGTGACATTTGTTTGTGCTACCTTGTCCTGGTAAAGGGAGCAAAATGGCTTTTATTTGTCTTCACTCTGAACAAGCAAAAAAAGTCAAAAAGAGATCTTCAATTCTTGAAAACTGAAAATGTTTGAAATGCCATTTGTGTGAGCTCAGACTTCAGTCCCTGTATTTCAAGATTTATATGCAGTTTGATGGATTGTTTTAATGGTTCTGCCTTTTTGGCTTTCAGTAGGAGCGCTTGGTGGTGTTCAGTGTAATTTTCTTGTTTGGTGAGAAATGAGTAAACTAAGTTTATTATTGCACTACTAATGTTTTGGAAGTAGCAGTGATGAAGAATTTTCTTAACTTTACCCTGCTAATTTCATTTCACCTGCATTTGCTTCATTTTAAATGTCCTGGCTTGATTTTTGCTGTGCTACATGTTCTCCGAGTAAGAGCAGGGGTGTTGCCCTACAAATATTACAGCTCTCTTGCAGCTCAGGAGTGTATAAATAGAAAGACCTGAAGGATTGTGAGTTTTTGTGCTGATTTTTGCTTCTTACCTTCAAGTGTAAAGCAGTACAGAATCCAAAATGTCCCTGTTTTCTTGGATCTCACTTGGAGCAGCAGACTATTTGAGCCTGTAGCAAAGATACTTTGTTCTTGAGCTGCTTAGTCACTGAAATCTACCATCTATAAACTCTCACAAAGTCTTCCAATTAAACAGTTTTTCCATATCTTAGTTGTTCATTTTAGCCCCATTTTTCTTCAGTTGGTTGATATTAGCAATTCTTAAGCAAAATAGAGCAGGGCAAGATCTGAATTTTGAGCCATTTAGTCTGCAATATAAAAATCTACCTAAGAAAATGATGTCATATGTGAAAAATGCCAATCACTTGTTTTTAAAATTTTAAAAGTTTAATAGTAATAAAATGGTTATAAAAACAGTAATACAATTAGAGTAATAATAATTTGGACAAATTGAATTAGGACAATATGAGACAATAAGGACAAAGAGTTAGGGATGTCCAGGTACCTTTTTCTGGGCAGCATGGGCCCAAAAAGGGATGCATAAAAACAGTGACCTGTTGCATATTCATGTACGATACATAAATTCCATTCAAACACAGGATTCTATCTGGTCTGTGTCAACTTCTTCCTCTTAATCCTAACTTCTTCCTTCAAGATGGGAAGAAGTTCATTTCTTCTGATAAGAGGATAATAAATTGCTTTGCTCTGAAAGACTTAGATTGGTTTAGAGTAGAAGCTCACTGTCTAACATAGATGATAGGTATTGGAAAGTTACTGTAAATATTGTACACATGGTTTTTAGTATAAAGACATAACACCTTCCTGGGGGCAGGCAATATTGTTGTGATTATATTGCAAGGGTTCCATATTGCTAGAGTTTCATACCTCCTTGATGTTTCTCGTAGGTAGCTCCTCCAGGCACTGCCTCTTCCTTGTCCCCACAGCAGCCAACTGAGTCCAGTTCTTCCCTCAGCCAACCAATCCACTCTTTTATAACACTCTTCTTATTGGCTACCGCTGTGGCCTGTTAACATCAGATCTTCTCCTAAGCTTTAATCATTAACCCAGCTGCAACTCTTTAGGGAGTAAAATTACTTTCTATACTACCTTTATTTGCTTATATTCTATCCCCCTACACAGTGTGCCTGGAACTGTCCTGCAGGACAGACCTCGGCAGGGCAGGATAAAATTTTTTATAGATAAGATGCAATAAACAACCTTGAGACCGAGAACTGAAGAGCTCTGACTCATTCTTCAAGCGCTCGGGCTGGGAAAAGAGACTTAACATTCCCAGGGTCGCAGTGAGCCAGAAAGGCCCCGAGACCAGGTGGTTTTTGTGTGCCACTTACTGTGGTTAAATAGTTTCTGAGTTAGTTTTTAAGAAGTAAGTTAGTCACTATTATAACTTAGAGAGTTTTTTGTTTCTTTTCACCTAAGTGATGTGTATTACCGGACACTTGGAGTGTACTTAAATCCATTAATGAAAGCTTAAGATGACAAGCTCATAGACCCCGTGTGTTTACTTTGCTGAAAGAGCAGTGAAGCGCAGTTGCTAATGAGAGGTGTTGCTGTTGCAGCAGAGCCTGGCGGTGTGGAGGATGCAGGCGGAGCAGAGCCCAGCGCAGCCCCCGAGCGAGGCGCCGGGGCCCGGCGGTGCCGCCTGGGACCTCACGGACAGCACCCGGCTGCAGCACTTCCTGTGCTTCGGCTCCGAGGGCAGCGCCTACCACGTCAAGGAGCGCAAGCTGGGCTTTGAGAACGCCGAAGCTTTGCTGAGGCTCATTGAAGAGGGCAGAGGCTGCCAAGTTGTGGAAGAAATCAAAGCCTTTAGTCAAGAGGGCAGAGCGGCAAAACAGGAGCCCCTTCTCTTTGCCCTCGCCGTTTGCTCGCAGTGCTCTGATGCCAAAACAAAACAAGCGGCGTTTAAAGCTGTCCCCGAGGTGTGTTGCATACCAACCCATCTCTTTACTTTCATCCAGTTTAAAAAAGATCTGAAGGAGGGCATGAAATGTGGCATGTGGGGCCGTGCTCTGAGGAAAGCTGTTGCAGATTGGTACAATGGAAAGAATGGCATGGCTCTTGCTTTAGCAGTTACAAAATATAAGCAAAGAAGTGGTTGGTCTCATAAAGATCTTCTGAGGTTGTCCCACCTAAAACCTGCCAGTGAAGGTAATAAATTTTTATCTACCTGAAAATACTGTGTTTGAAACCTTTTATATTTACTGTGGAAGTATTTTTGGAAACTTGAGTTCCATTGTAGATGAATTCTTAGTGAGAATATCCTGTCTTAAAAATGTGGATAATCATATAAAAAACCAGACCTTCAAGGTAAACAGGCTGTATCCTCTTAGTGAGGATATCCTGTGAATTGCATCTTAAAAATGTGGGTGATCCTATCAAATACCAGACCTGTTTATCTTCAAGGTAAACAGGGTTTGTTTGTTATTTTCTTTCATATGCCAAGGGAAGACAAAATAACTCCCTCATTTTGTTCCTATTTGGTTACAAATGATGAAATAACCCTTTTTTGTTATGTGGGAAGATCTGTTGACTTCAAATCTTAAAATAATAGAATGGTTTGGGTTGGGAGGGACCATGAGGATGATCCAGTACCAATCCTTCTGCCATGGGGAGGACACCTCCCACTAGCCCAGGCTGCTGAGAGCTCCATCCAGCCTTGTCTTGGACACTTCCAGGGATGGGGCAGCCACAGCTTCTGTGGGCAATGTAGCAAATACATGAAGCTCCTTACTTCTAAGGAGGTGAATACAGTAATTAAAAGTATTGCTCTAAATTGTGTGTGGCTGACCTTTTCAGTAGGTGTTTGGTAGGTCTGAGAATGAAACCTGCTAATTGATTTGCATGCTAGAATGATAAAATCCAGTATACAGATGGTAATCCTGCTTGAGAAATGGTTTTCTTTTCCATCAGGAATTGCTATAGTCACTAAGTATATTACCAAGGGCTGGAAAGATGTCCAAGAAGCTTATAAAGAGAAAGCAGTTTCTGCTGAGACTGAAAAACTCTTGAAGTATCTGGAGGCTGTGGAGAAAGTCAAACGCACAAAAGATGAATTGGAAGTTATTCATTTGATAGAGGAGTATGGTCTAGTTAGAGAGCACCTCCTGACAAACCATCTGAAATCTAAAGAGGTAGGTAACTTCCTTAGTCAAATTCTCCTTAGAAGTATGAATTCTCTACAGTGAGTAATGCTGTTCAGAGTCTTAAGTCTAGATTTCTTTTCAAAATAGCCCTTACACTGTTTTTCAAGTTGTTTACCCATATAGTTAATTTAAAATAATTACGACTTTAATATAATTTGTACATTTATTTTAAAATAGACTCATTCAATGTACAGCTAACAATTCTTGTGCTTTGAGAATCTCATCTTTCCGTGTTTCCCTTCTCTTTCATCATAGGTTTGGAAGGCATTACTCAAGGAAATGCCTATTTCTGTATTGTTGAGAAATTTAGGGAAGCTGACAGCAAATTCAGTGCTTGAACCACGAGGTTCAGAAGTGGCAATAGTATGTGAAAAACTGAGAAATGAGAAACTGCTAAAAAAGGTGAGAACTTCATAATCAGTGCCAGCCCTTGTGGATTTTAATTTTTAATGTTTAGTTATGTTAGTATGTTCTATTTAAAAACTGCAGTTTAATGCCTGCAACTTTATTTTAAAACTTCTGTTTATAATTTCTCATTTGATTCCCCACCTGCTTTCTGAAACATTCAGATAAAATAAGTGTACTGGCAGCTATTGGATCTTTTCTTAAGTAAGGGCTGTGGCAAGCTGTGCTAGTTGGGTTCATCAATTTCTTCTGAGTCTTATAGTTTTTAAGTGAGTTAAGAAAATAGCACAGTAGCTGAGGGGTAAAGCAAGATGGGCAAGGGGACATTCCTCTTTTCTGATTGCTTTATTGTCCATCCAAGTGGAAGGAAAGTAAGAGGGGAAAAAAGGGTTCTCCAAAGAGAGAATAACATTTTCAGGAATTTAGTCTAAGGTAGAGACGATGACTGTCTTGAGCAGCGGTTTTGTGAGCTGGGAAGATGAAAATCAGGACACTGAAATTTTTCAGCACCAGAGCTGAATTTAACGCAACAACAAAAGTCCTTTTCCCCCCATCCTATTGCCGTTCCTTTGCTCTGGTTCCTTCCTGGAGAAGGGAGGGCAAAGACCATGGTGCAATACCTTGGTGGAAGATAGACCATGCACAAGCACTCAGATTCACTGAGTTTTGATGCTGGCAGTGATTAAGGACTGAGACGCCCCTTTTGGATAAAGATAACAAAATGTCCATATGGTTATATAAGTTAAGTTTATATATGGAAAGCAAAAAAAAAAAGTTTGGAGTGTTTTATAGCATGAGAAAAATGAATGCTATGTTCCAAAAATAATTTATTGCCCAGTGTTACTGTATCTTGTATAGAGTTAGTTTTAAGTTGGTTCTTTTCCTTGCTCAGCTCCTTTCTCTTCAGCTGGGCAGGGACTTTGTTTTACTGTAAGCCTGTGATGGAAAATAGCACTGGACAATCATAGAGCTGCAAAATGTTACCAGAATTCTGGTGATGGCATCCCATTTGGTGTTAATTAGAGGATTCTTGAGAGGAAGTGGGGTCCATTGTCAGTAACCCACAACAGTTCATCAGTTCATCCAACAGCTGTGTAACTGTATGAACTCTTTAGGTTTAACAAATTTCAAGTAACCGTATACTAAACCTGAGATTTTTTGTAGCAGGAACTTATTTTAATTTCTTTTTAGCTTGTTACGTTTTTTAAGGAGGTGAAGTTTTCATGTCCTTATTTTTGATTTCTGCCTGTAGGGTAGAATACATCCCTTCCATATCTTGGTTGCATTAGAAACCTATAAAGCTGGACATGGAAACCGAGGGAAGCTTTGGTGGCGTCCTGATCAAGACATTTTAGAAGCTTTAGATGCCTCATTTTACAAAGCTTTCAAGGTAATAATAGTTCTCAAATTTGTTAAGCTTTTTAAGAGTTCTGTGTTTTCTGAAAGCTTATCAAGAACAGATCCTGGGGTGGGTAACAATTCTGAAACTTTGGCAACAGCACTGTCCTGATGTTACCCAGAAAGAGGAAAAAATGCCTTCTTTAGGAGTGAAAGCAGAAGAAGAAATGAATATATAAATTATGTGTACCTATGATATTTTTGTCTTTTATTTTTTCAGACAGTGGAACCAACAGGAAAACGCATTGTAGTTGCAGTTGATGTTAGTGCATCAATGACACAAAAGGTTTTGGGCAGTGTGCTCAATGCCAGCATGGTTGCAGCAGTAATGTGTATGGTGAGGCTTTAAATTTCTTTTATTTATAACTGTTTTCAGCTTGAATTGCTTTTTTGAAAGGTGCTCTAAAGCTGGTTAGAAATCAAGAGGAAACTCACATATAATATTTTTTGGGTACAGAAGGTGTGACCTTGTGCCTCACTGCTGAAAGCTCCTAGCAACCATATTCAGAAATATAAGTTTGAAGAAGTTGGTCAGGGCAGGTTTTTCACTTATCTTAGCCATAATAAAATGGCTTACTATAAGTAAAAAAATGATAACTTTATCTTACACATTTTAAGTTTTTCAGAAGCATTCATAGAAATATACGGAGTAGATTAAGAAATGTTGGGATAATTCTTATATCTGTTTGAGTGGTCAATGTGGCCTTTACTCACAATTACTTTCCTCTCAGTTTAGCATTCTAAAGCTTCTTGTGTTGTATTCTTTTATGCAGAGGAGTTGAACTTTTGTTGGCCCTTAAAAATGGTCAAGGTTTTATGTCAGAGGGGAGGGAAGAAAATGGAAGTATCTTTGGTTACAGTAATTAGAGCAGTTGTTCAGCTCTTTTTGCAGTGTTTATTTACAGAATATTTATTTACAGAATATTTAAAGTGTAGAGTGAACCATTACTGTTTATGAGCAGCCATGATGATTTCAATACAAAAGCATTTGTCATGCTGTGTGGTAGGGAATAGCTCAGTTCAGACATGAAAAATTCAGAGTAATGTAACTGCATTATTTTCACTCTTTTCTCCCTCTTTCTCAGGTTGTGGCACGGACTGAGAAGGATTCCCAAATTGTTGCCTTTTCACATGAAATGGTCCCATGTGCCGTGACGGCTGACATGACCTTACCTCAAGTTTTAGTGAAAATGTATGAAGTATGTAAAAAAAAAGTCTCAGCAGTTACATTGTATTTTATTTGTCATCAATCCTACTACCTTGTTTAATCTGTATAGCTCTAGTACAAGATTGGATTTTTTTGGTGCATTTTAATTAGAGAAAGCCCAGCAAACGTCATTATTTCATTTGCTGGATATTAAACATTGCAATTTAGAATGTCAGTGCTATGTCATGATGAGTTAGCTTGAAAAGAATGCTTAAAAAAATTCAAACAAAAAAAAATCTTGGACAAGCTGAGATAAAATGCACAAGTTTAACAAAGAAGCCTCTTTGTGTAGTAATTGTAAGACATGAAGCTTACATCAAAAGAAATTTTCCCATGGTTTGTTAATTTCTGTATTAATGTGTTCCATGTATATTTATTTTTTTCTCCATAAGATTCCAGTGGGTACCACTGATTGTTCCCTTCCAATGATATGGGCTCAAAAAACTCAGACAGCTGCTGATGTCTTCATTGTATTTACTGATAATGAGACCTTTGCTGGGAATACTCCTCCTGCAGTGGCCCTTAGAGAGTACAGAGAGGTAAATTGCTTCTGACTGTTTATGATTAATAAATACTGTACAAAGTAAGTATCAGCTCTAAAAATCTTTTCGAGATTGGACTGGGTGTGGCTTTCTTCAGTAAATAATTATATATTGTTAAAAACTTATCAATCCTGCAGTTAGGCAGAACTAGTGCACATATAGCAGTAATTGTGTGTATTTAAAACCACAGAATTGCTAAAAGGATTTGTAATTAGCCTGCCCTGCTTGGTGTGCTCCAATGTTCATGAAATTTTGTTACTCAGGGACTGCATGAATTTCTAAATGCTATATGTAATTGATGGGGTAAGTTTTTATAGTTGTTACAGGATCATGTTTGACTCTCAGAACTAAGTTCAACTTTGATGTCTGCGGTAGATGTCAGAATGTTTCAATGAAGTACTAAAGACAAGTGTCAGGAGGATGAGGTGACAGTATCTTGTGAAGAAAGCCTATTGTGTTTTAAAGGGACTGCTCTAAGCTGTGCAGCTTCCTAATATTACAATAGAATAGAGAAAAATACCTTCTCCAAGCACATTGCTATTGGAAACCCTTATTTATTCAGCAAACAATCCTTTATGCTTTAAATAAACTATTTTTGAAACTACCAAAAATGTGTTTGTCAGGCATGGGTGTATGGACTTGAATCATTACATAGTTTCCACCCTGTTGAAATGAATACCAGAAGTCTGTAGTTTGGTTTCCTTAGTTGAGGTTAGCTGCCATTCCAGTGCTGACAGGCACCCTGCAGTTCTGATTCTTGCATTCCTCTTCAGACAGTGCCTATGCAAGTGAGATTTGGCCCTCTGGCATATTTGAATTACTGCATATGTGCACATTTTTTATTCTTGATGTGTTTTCTGATATTTTTTGCTCTCCTCCCTCTAGAAAATGGGCATTCCTGCAAAGCTGGTGGTTTGTGGCATGACCTCCCACAGTTTCACGATCGCAGACCCGGACGACAGAGGCATGTTGGATATCTGTGGCTTCGACACAGGAGCTCTGGATGTTCTTAGAAACTTCACTTTGGATCTGATTTAACATTTGTAGGCATCTGCTCTTCCCAGTGGGTCCATTGCTGGCAACAGACTTCACCCTGGGAACTCCCAGCCAAATATACTTTATTAGCTCATGGCATATTGTATACATATCAGAATGTTACAGGAGGTGGTGGCACTTCAAGCATCTCTGACTAGAGCTTCTCACTAAGGTGTTTGTAAGGTTGAAACAGAACTTCAGTCTCATGCAAATCTAACAGAGAAACTCAGTGCTGGCATCTCTGGTGTCAAACTGTCAGTAGCCAGCGATCCCTCTGCCATTGGAGGTGGCAGCCACATGTCACCGCTGTCACCCTGGGACTTGGTGCCATGCAGCAGCACACTGTGCATTTGGACACTCTTGGTAATGGCTGGCAGTGCAGTCACATCGCCCTTCAGAGTCCTGCAGCACAGCTGTAGCCCTGCTCCATGCTCCTTTAGAAAGGCATCTCCACTCCTCAGCCACCTTCCTGGTATCCAGCACCCTCCTTTTCCCAAGGCAGTTGGTTTATTCCTGTACACACACTCAAACTCTAGGTGGATTCATTCCCTGACCAGCCTGGGCTTTATGTGAGCTGGAGCTCCAGAGGGCATAATTTTTGGTGTGATAACCACAGGAACTGTGCTCTGAGTGCTGTGGGCCAGCACCAGCCACTCTGGATCTGTCCCAGGGGTGAACAGGACCCCCTGTTATGATGGGCTGGTGGCAGGACCACAGTGTACTTCACAAACCCTTGCTCCCTGAGCTTCACCAAAGTCTTCCTGGCTAGCCTGGCCTGCAGCACATCAATCACCCCATCCCTGTTGTCCTCAAGCTCCACAGCATCCACTGCCTTGAGGAGAAGGGTGGTTTTGCCTGGGCCCAAGGAAACACCACCACAGCAAACACTTTGTGTCAGCATGCTGGACCCTGCTCCTGCTCTCCACCAGTGCTGGAGTCAGCCCAGACACCATCTTGGCCACATCCACCTCCTCAGCAGGGTAAGTGAAGAGGACCACAGTGCTGTCCAGCTCCTCATGGACTTTGGAGTTCGTCTGCTGCAGGTACCCCCTCTGCAGCAGCAGGCCCAGCACCTGCTGAGGATGTGCTGCCTCCATCAGCCCCAGGAGCAGGGCTGTACTGCAGGATGTCCAGCTTCCTGTCCCCCAGGACTTCAGGAGCAGGTGGTCACCTCCAGGGCCCTGAGCACCACTTTGGAGTCACTGAGGAGGGTGTAGAGGGAGATGAGGAGCCCCAGAGTTCAGACCTTCGCCTTTTAGGACTGACAAAGTCCCTTGCAAACACTCCTGAATGGAAAGCGGTGCAGAAAGGCTGGACATTGTTCAAGGATCTTAAAAAAGGAGGAGCAGGCTGTCCCATGTGCTGAGAGATGAGCCAGTGGGGAAGAAGACTGGCCTCGTTGAACAGGGAGCTGTCACTGGAACTCAGGGAAAAAAGACCTTTGGAAAAGAGGCAGGATGCTCTTGAGGACTACAAGGATGTTGTTAGATTATGCAGGAAGGTTGGGAAAGTGAAACCCCAGCTAGAAATTAATTTGGCCACTGCTGAAATAAATAATAAAAAGTGTTTTTACAAATACATCAGCCACAAAAGGAGAGCCAAGGAGAGAATCTCCATCCTTTATTGCAGGTGAGGAGGACCATTGCCACAAAGGATGGAAAAAAGGCTGAGGTGCTTGATGCCTTCTTTGCCTCAGTCTTTAATAGTCAGACCAGCTGTCGTTGGGAAGACTGAGAGACAAGGAACAAAATGAGGGCCCTGTAATTCAGGAGGAAACAGTGACCTAATCCTCCACTTAAGTGTTCAAAGGTCCCTGGAGTCTGATGGAATCCACCCAAGCTGCTCTCCACCATTTATTATCAGTCCTGGCTAACCAGGGAGGTCTCAGGATGCCTGGAGGTTGGCCAGTGTGACACCCATTGGAAGGAGGATGCAGGAAGCCACAGGCCTGTCAGCCTGCCCTCAGTGCCAGGGAGGGACGTGGAACATCTGGATCCCACAGCATGTGCAGGACAGCCAGGGACCAGGCCCAGCCAGCATGGCTTTGTGAAAGGCAGGTTCTGCCTGACCAACCTGATCTCCTGCTTTGAATGGTGACCTCCCTGGTGGCTGAGGTGGAGGCTGAGGCTGTGGCTGCCTGGGCTTCAGCAGAGCCTTGGACACTGTTTCTCTCCTGTCTGACAAGATAGGAGCCTGTGGCTTGGACAGGTGCACTGTTTGCTGACTGAAAAACTGGCTGGATGGCTGAACCACCACAGAGTGGTGGTGCCTGAGTCACATCCTGCTGCTGGCTGGCCACCAGTGGTGCTCGCCAGGGCTCCCTGTTGGGGCCAGTCCTGCTCGGTATCTTTATGGCTGGTTTGGACAAGGGGATCAAAAGCACCCTCAGTTTGCAGATGGCACCAGGCTGAGTTGATCTGCTGGAGGGCAGGAAGGCTCTGCAGAGGGATCTGGACAGGCTGGGGCCATGGATTGAGTGTGGGCCCAAGTGCTGGGTCCTGCCTTTGGGTCACAGCAATCCCAGTCATGCTCCAGGCTGGGGCAGAGTGGCTGGGAAGCTGCCCCGTGGAAAAGGGGGTGCTGGTCAGGAGTGGGTGAACAGGAGCCAGCTGTGCCCAGCTGGGCAGCAAGGCCAGGGGCATCCTGGCTGGCATCAGAAAGAGGGGCAGCAGGAGCAGGGCAGGGCTTCTTTGGCTTGGCACTGGTGTGGCTGAACCTCAAATCCTGTTTGCAGCCAAGAATTGGAGCAGGCTGCCCAGGGAGGTGCTGCAATCTCCTTCCCAAAACCACGTGGGTTTGGTGCTTAGGGACCTGGCTCTGTGGTGGACCTGGCAGTGTTGGGTTGATGCTTGGACTCGATCTTAAGAGCTCTTTTCCAACCCTCATGGTTTTGTGATTTTTATTAACTTTTTGTGAAGGGAAAACAAGAAAAGCAGATGAGGAATCTCTTTTTTTATTTTTCCTGTTGCACACAATTTAGAATAACAGTGAGAAGTTTGCTAAAAGGGGTTACAGGGTTACATAGTGTATAATTTAATTTCATTTATAGTAGACTATAAATATGGAGAGATTTTTAATTTCCCCCATTGCTGTGGAATGCTTATTTGCAAGAATAAATTCATTAATTACTTCTAGAATGGAGCTGGAAGCAAATGGGCTTAGTATTTTTAATAATGGCAGTTTACCAGCAGCTTCATTGAGAGAGAATTTTCTTTGGGCTTTTTAAAATCTTTGTATTTTAAGTGTTAGTAATGTTCAGTGGTTTCCATGGCTATGGTTAAAATCTACAAAAGAAGTTTTTTCTGGTATGTATTGAGACCATGTGACTGTGATACAGTGTAAGTTACCCAGGGACATTTTATACTGCTAAAACTGAAAGTGCAAGAGCTCATGCTAATCTTTTTCTCTCTGGATTATCATCTGGGTTTTCAGGAGGAAATATCTCTTTAGGTAAATTGGGGGGCAGTTTCTGCACAATACCATTTCAGAAGCACTAGTTTAGAATTAAAAATACTTTACAGGGAGTTCTAAAAACTGTTTTTAGTAGAAAAAGACCTTGGAAATGACTGGGATGTCACATTCAGTCCTTGTCACAACTTCAAGAAGCATCAGCACACCTTCAGTGAGCAAGATAACAAGTGCATGTGTCTTGGCCTGCTCAGCAAAGCTGAGTGGGAGCAACCAGAAACAAAAGCTACATTTTTTTTTTCAGAAGAATGTATTCAATGACTCAGAAACAATCTTCCTAACAGGAGAGTGCTTCATTTTTAAAAATCTTTTTGTAGGTTAGTGTTACTTCTGATTTCATCAATTAATTCAAGCTAACATATTTCAAAACTACCTCCAGTTTATAGTGACCAATTCTTAAAAACTTTTATGAACTGTACAGTTGTCTCCTTCATGTTCACAAAATCATGTTTAGGAAGTGATTGAAACTGGATTCTTAATTTTTTATTTTTAGTCTCATTGTAAGAGTGTGACAAGGAGAAAGCCAGTGAGTATTCTACCACTTTGGAACAGAAACTGATAGCAGTTTGTGTGTATATGTATTTAATTCTGTGTTTTCTATGTGTATAGGGGGGAAGTTAAAAGATCTCTTTAGTAGATCAATCTTACAAGATCTGAAAGGTTTTTTAGTGATGCTTTAAAAACTTCCTCTAAAACATAGATATTTCAGCCTCTTTTAAGCTAATACAGACTGTTTTAAACAGCAAATTTTATGTTAATTTGAAAATAATTATGATTTATAAAAATATCATCTTTACCCATAGTGGTAAATGACACATCATACCATATTTTTCTGCCTAAAACCCAAGCTTTTAAATGTAAAATTGAAGTTCCTACTATACCTTTGGTACTTGTAACACTTGTCATTATGCCTCATTCCTATTGATGATAAATTCCAAGCTTGCATTGTGTAGCTGGGATATCTCTTTTGGTGCTAAAATAGGATGTAACATGTTACTGAAGGTATTCTGCTACTTCCTTCCACTCTCCCTTAATGCATAATGAATCCAGAGAGGGAAGCCTTTCCTGACATGGAGCAGGGCTGACAGAGCTGCTGGGTAGAGTGTTGCCTTTCAGCCAGCATGAATGTAAGTCACTCCTGAATTCTCACTGCTCTCACAGAATGCTTGGGGACACAGGACTGCCACCAGCTCCTCAGGTGAGTTCTAGAACAAACCAAGTGTTCCTACAAAAGCTGAGACACAGCACTTTGGGGTTTGCAAAAAGAAAATCAGCCATTTCTCATGAAAAATTGCATATCATTTTTAGCATCTAAACAAACACCATGAGTATGGGGAGTAAGCTCATTTGCTCAATACATATTAATAATTATTTCCAGTAAATGCACTGATGTTTTGGGGTTGGGTTTGGTAGTAATGCATTTTAAATGACACAATAGTCAAATATCTGATTGTTTCCTTCTAAGCTAGAGATGTCAAGAATAACTGATAGATGAGTATCTTTTGCAAGTACTTTTTCTTATTTGCAGTAGTATTTGTGAAGTAATAGGAAGTATTTTGGACTAAATATAAAATGAAAACTTAAAACAGGTGTTTCAAGTAACTTTCAAGTAAATTTATTGCAAATAAAAATTAGAGTAGTTACTAACAGATTGAATGTATGGTTATAGTGGTGTTACATCTTTGGAAGCAGTCCAGTTGAAAATGCAGTTCCTTGAACTAGAGTGTGGAGGTAAAGATGAACTTTTCAGTAGGAGTGATAGAAACTGTAGGTCCCTGTACCTGTTGACACTGAATAGCTGTGAGCAATGATAAAAGGTTGTCATCCCTGCTGGGGTACAGAATGTGCTCCTGAACATGTGTAGTAACTCTGGACTGAAAACCTGGTCAGTGGTTTATGAGATGTAAAACCAGTACTGGTCAGACCATGTTGCCGTCTGCTCCTCCTTCAGGATTTGCACAGGGAGGGGAAACTGAAGTAAATGCTGACAGCTGCAATTTTGTACTATGTGGACCTTTCTTTCTGGGAGTTTCTTTCTGGTTTTGCTATTCTCTTCTATTAAGGGGCATAGAAGAATGATGCTGCAAATTCCTTGTCCATAGACTGGATATTTTTTATCTGCCCATACACTGAATTTTAGGGGACAGCATCTAGTCTTTAGTTACTAAACTGATAATTCCCGAAACAACTCTAGACATGTAAAGAGGTAATAATTACTGTAATGCTTGAAAAAGAATTTAAAAAGTGAGTTAAGACAAAATTGATACACTTAAGCTTCAGATCAGTGTACAATAAACAACCTACTCTTTCACCAAAAAGGAGACTTTCAAATCAGTAGTGGTCATTGCACTGGAGGAACACTGACTGGAAAAGCAGAAAAGGGACTATAATTGTGCACTGCAGTTTACCAGTAAGCATTGAGCAGGGACAAGTTTAAAGCTAGTTAATTTTATTCAAAATGCTGAATGAGAAAAGGTCTAAATGCAGAGTGCAGCTGTAGACCAGGGAAATGCATGTTTCCTAAAAATGCAGGTTTTCCTGGTTTCTTGATTGCTAAGTTACTGGTTTCAGTTTGACTGCCATTTCTCTGTGACCCCCTTGACAATTCTGGAGCTTAGACTATGGTATTGAACACTGTAATGTGTTTACTTTAGCTTTAAGAAAGAAGAAAAGCATGTTGTGGTTGGAAGCACAGCAGAAGTGAAACATCCTCTTGTGAGGAGTGAACATCCAGGGTCAGGTTTCTTCTTGGAAGGGACACAATAAATGACATGGAGAGGGCAGGAGGCTCTCGAGTTTTTAAAAATAACGCAGTGATCTCATCAGCATTGAGTAATACATTCAATAATGACAGTAATAGTTTTACCAAGAAATAGAATTTCGTGTCAGGAATTTTAGACCTGGAGCAAGGAGTAGGAGAGTTTGAGGTGCTTGTAGAATTAGATTGCAGTCCTCTGTTTCAAAAAGATGTCTGAGGGTAGGTGTAGTTCTGAGGTCAGCAGGGCCAGTCTAAATGCCCACTGTGTGAGGGCTGCTAATAACTGGCACTAAAATACCTTGCTGCTGAAAACCACTGCTAAACCTGTTTGTCAAACACAAGTCTTCAGGAGGTTTATGCTGGTTTTTCACATTGCTGTTGTTAACTGATGCCCATAGACAAGTATGCCTTTAAAAGGCTGTTCAACAAAGTATATTCTTGGCTTAAAAACACACCAGCAGTTTGGGAAATGTATTTTAATAATGGCTCTGACTGTAAAAACACTAGGAAGATCTTTGTCTGCATTGCAAATACTGCTTACCCTGTCCTGAGCTCACAGGAACAGAGGCTTTTGTTTTGGTTCCATTTATTTTGTTTCTTCTTCTTTTGCTGTCCCCTTTTCTCTGTTAGTGTTGGTTATTTTTCTCCTTTCCTGTCTTGTCACCTCAGACCTATACTTGAATCTTTTTTCACAAGCTCTCATCCATTCCTTTTTCTTTTATTTTTGCCTCTATTCTTCTGCCTTCTTGCTGTCACTTGAGTGTGCTTGCTTAGCTCCCTGCCCCAGAACTGATGGCATAGTATTTCATGTTTCTAATAATGAATACTTTTTGCTATTCTTTAATTATATAAATCTTTTACAAAATAGCTAATTTGTTGTATCTGTCAGATTTTTGGTAAAACTGAGTGTAAAAATCAGTTACAAAAGTATACTTTGTTTATTACAAAAATCCATCATCTGCCTGTGAATGGCTTTATTTGAAAAAAGTAACAATTACAATTGGCTCTTCAAATGTAAAGTTTTTTTCTAGAAGTACTTCAGTGATTTGAAACTTTTCATTCTTTTAAATAGTATCAAGCTGCTGTCATGCAAAATTATGAAAACTTTAAAATTAATATTCTGGATAAACAGGCAATTTCTTTGCAATATTGACAAGAGAAAGTCTTGAAAGAATAGACTATAGAAGTAAACCTAAGTAAAGAATCATTTGTGTTTGAATCATGAGTTTCTTGTGCTTTTAACCCTTTTATTTAGTTTCTATGAAATTCCACCAGTTTCTAGGTTTATTTTGCTGTCTGCAGTGGTTTGCAGTGCACAGAAAGGCTGCTGTAAGCAGCTGCTATAATGACTTTCTTGCTGGTAGAGATTTCATCTTACCGTGACACTGGGGGGTGTGCAAATGGCTGAGCAAGAGTTCTGGGGAAAAGGTGAAACACTGACCAGGACAGTGTTTTATGGATATGCTGCCCTGAGGGAAATCATAACAGATAAGCTAATTTCAGCAGAAGGTGTGGTGTCTTTAAATATGTGTGCTTACATATCTGGATTTATGATTCTGATACTGCAAAGCGTGGTTTCTTTAGGTATTTCTGCATTCTGAATTTAAGTTTAAATGTATATATATTTGCATATATATGTGGTATGTTAAGAACTTTTACAAATGCTTCATTAACAAATAATGAATATAAGTAGCTGTTTTCCTAATGCTACCAGCTTAAGAGTTAAGCACAACTAGTTACAAATAAAATGTCTTTTCATTCTCCTGTAAAAGTGCAGTTCTAATCCTTAAAAATAATTCTGTATTTAAGAAGCAACACATGTGCACATTCACAGCTCTGTGTGCTTCATTAAATAATTCAGTGTTTGTTTCCAGCTTCTTCTGCTTCTTAGAAGCTTGGGAGTTAAGATGGATAAGCAGGTATCCAGATCTTCTACTGGATTAATTTCAATATTTAGATCCCAGGACAAGCATATTTTAAGAGAAACAACTTTGTCTTGGAGACAATGCTAGGGAAAAAAGATGGAAATTTTTAATGACTATTCTTGAGGTTCTTAATTTTGGTTGGGTGTTCCCCCCCCCGGATTAGAACCACACTTTAACTGCCATATCATGTTTAATTAACTTAAGCATAACATGGCTTTGTGCCATCCAGTAACAAAGGCACTGTCTTGCTGCTACTTTCTGTGAAATTGTACACAATGAAAAAAACTGTTTGGATGGGGAGCCTTAATATGGTTAAAAAGAAACATAATTAACCCTTTGGGTGCCTTAAGCTAGATCCTGTTTAATGATGGGGCACTCACTTGCATCTACAGGCACAGCTTGTTTCAATGGCTGCAAGAGAATTTGCCTTAAGTGACAATGCCCTGGGACTTCCACAACTTGGAACTCAAAGGGTTACTTTAGACTACTGGTTAAAAAAACAAGCCTCTAAACAGGGAACAAAATGAAAAGGTCTTTGAAAAATTCCTTTGCATACTATTGTTGTTATTTTTACGTGATGGGTTTATCAGCTTTGGGGACAAAATTGTTGTTAAGCTTCTGGTAAAAACATCACTGGCTGAAGAATTGTACACAGAGCATAAGAATACTTGGTATTCTTATATGACTGTATGTGCAAAATAAATTGCTTTATTAAGTGTAAATTCAGAGAGAGATGCACATCTGTGTGTTTACCTTGATGACTGTGTCCTAGCACCACACAGGAAACTGCAATAATTAAAATGAAACAAGGTCAGTGTGTTGAATTAGCTGATTACATATTAAAGATGCACAATGCAGACAATTGCATACTAAAGACTTTCTACAAATGATGCAGTTTAAACTGAGTTCAAACCTGCATCACAAAAATGAAGCTGTCAAGTTTAAGTGATATTCTTGCTGTCCTAGTTAGCTGGAATTAAAGATTGATTTTTTTTTTTCCTTGAGGGAAAAAGTAGTTTAGGTACATGCAGTGCTGAAAGCAATGGAAATAACAGGATTCTTAATTGACAAAAAGTGAGTAAAAATTAATTGACTAATGTTTTTATTCTAATATGTGCACCTTTAGTTGTGCAATGGTCCCTTTAACTGAAGAGTGGGATATAATTTTCTACTTGCATATGAACTACTTTGAAATAACCAAGAGTCTTGGCATTGCCTGGTCTGGCTTTGGATGTACATTGTACTGAAACTATGGAATTTTAGTCATTTCTGTTAGACATTTAACTGAAAGTTAAAATGGCTAGTAAACTGCATTCTGGCTGTAGAATTTAAGTACTAAATAAACTCTATGCATATTAGACCTGCTTCCCTTGCTGTTCTGTTCCATGCTGCTGTTGGATCAGTTGTACCACAGTGTGCAGCTGAGTGCCCGAGCTGCCTGGCCCCCTGGAAGCCATTCCTGAATGGCAGTGCAGGCTGATCCCTCAGAGTGCAGAGCAAAGATGAAAGCTGCCACTCTCTAAAGCTGCCAGAGTCTTTATTCCCTTTTCTGTTCCATTGGACACACGATTTGGGGGCTGGGTGATCAGGCACTGGCGTACAGGAGAGGCAGACATACACACACCACTATCACTACAAACTGGGTTTGCTTTACACTTCAGTTTGACACAGAATAATTATATTTAAAGAAACCATAAAATAAAATTGACAATTTATTGAGACAAAGCAAGAAAGCAAACTAATGTGCAGCAAAACCCACAGGATTCTTTTAGCAGAGCCTGGGCTTCCCTGGAGCAGGATGTAATCACCATGAAGTGACATCACTGTCTCACTAAGAGCCCCAAGAGTTACAGAATGTTTGCTAATGACCATTGGGCTTGTGGGAAAGCTGAGGCAAGGACACCAAGTAATTCACCAAAGCCATAAAGTCTGTCAAGAGTGATCTGTAATTCAGAAAGCCATGGTTTGAGGTTGTTGAGTGCAGCTCATGCTGTGTCTGTGATCTTCTGATTTCATCTGAAACTCTGTTCATACAAAGGAAGATGAAGCTAGAGGTGGTTGCTCAGCAAGGTTGCTTCGATTTGCACTGATTAATTAAAGGAAGCAGTTTGCCTTCCTCATGAAGCCTTTGAGCATCTGTTGCACCTCCAACACAAGTCCCATTGATAAACACTCTTGGGACCTATCAAGAAAACAAAAGTTGCATTAGTTACCACTTGGGAAAAAGGTAAACACTCAAGCAAGCCCATGTGGACTCCAGTACACACAATCACTGTGTTCTTCTAGATGTGTGTATAATATTAGTGTACAACCCATACTTGTCCATAATATTTACAGAGATGGGAAACTTCATGTGCCCCTCAAAAGTGGGGTGAAGCTACTGAGTGGGTGATTGTAATAAATTCCAATAATTGAGTCAAGTGAGACTATGTAAAATAAAATAAAGTTGTTAAACAATGGTTTAAATATACTAATGAAAAATGGCTTTGATACTTCAATTATTTCAGTGTCAGTAGGGCAAAGATCAGCTGTGAGGAAGAGCCAGAGGGGTTATACAAGAAGAGACCTCCTGCAGCATTTAATTTAGGAGCTTGTATCCCAAATTTACCTGTCTCAAAACAAGAACTTAAGAACTTGCTATGGATATAACCCAAGAGGGATGTATGTAGCCCAAGCTGTTACTTATTAAGTATAAGAGGATATACTCACTGTTCTGCCACCAGTCATCTGTTCCAGAATGTCTTGGAACTGCTTTCCATTTCTATTTAGGTCCAGTTCCACAGCTGTGTAACTCACATTCAGACCCTTAAAGAGGTTTTTTATCATACTGCAGTATGAGCATGTTGTTTTAGAGAAAATCACCACACAGTTGCGTGAAATAATGTCCTGTGTGCTCAAAAGAAAGTTAAAACTCAGTGAGCTTCAAGCCAATGCACTCAGAACACTGTTGAACACTCCTGAAAGTAGTACACAGGTTAAAAAGCTGCTGTTAGAGTAACAAACACAGGAAAATCTCTGCTGGCACCTCTGAAAGCAGGTTTGACCTGCATCTGGCTCCAAACCAGCAAAGGGATGGTGGAGTGTGTGGTAAACTCTGCTCTGCAGTCTGCCCAGCTCCCTGGATCCCCCTAAATTGTTTGGGACAGTTTTCTCTGTCCATAAGGCACTTGGGATGTGCCAGTGGCAAGCACAGTGACCAAAAGCAGTGGCTGGAAGATACACCCTTATCACTTCACTGTAAATTCAAGGGGATTTCAGGCTATCATTAACTATCAGTAAATTTATAAGACCCATAACTTCCAAAATATTTAACTTTACTTTATATCAGTAATTTTACAAGGTTCTATCCCTGATGCTGATGGCAACACTGAATTTGAGTAGAGGTCTAAAAAAACGCATAAAATGGGTGCAGCCTAGGAAGATCAGGTTCCAGGGCTGTGGATAAACAAAACTGCCAGCATGGCTTGATAACCATGACAAACATAGGAACAGGTTCAACAGGCAGAACTATTTACAGTATTTCTTTGTGTAAATAAGAAAAGGTTTGGAGTAATTGGCTTTTATAAATGCTGAAAATCAGTAAAAGCAACATAAATAATGCTACCTGTATTTGATTCACGGTAGCACCACACGACAATCCTACACAAGCCGTCTGTCTGTTCCCCATTCTATAGCTAAAAAGAAATGACAGTCAGATCTTCGAGCTTTCAAAGGATGGCCACATTGCCCTGTTTCGTTTCGGTAGTTCACTGACTGCGCCATGGTGGTTCCCTTGAGCTGCAGCATGTGCAGCCAGCCCGCTTCTCGTGTGCCCGCAGGGCCGGGGAGCAGCGGGATGGCTGCG